GCTCGCGCCGGGGAACCTCCAGCATCCTCTGCCCGCGTTTACTGGTAGCGGCAGCCAAGTTTTCTCTCGGTCAAACACTCAGGTTTTCTCCCCTCCGTTCGGTAAAGCGCGTTATGGCAAAGAGGTTGCTGGGACAAAAAGGGCTTTATCAGGATGACTGCTAATAGGAGTACTCCAGTAACCCGGGCTGGCACCCGCAGTCGCCTCTCCGTTCCTGGGCCTGCTGGCTTCCCCACCTGGAGCCAGCCTGGGGCCCTGTGAACGCACCCGAGCCGCCTCCCTGCGCTCGCACGCTTGCGATAAGGCCTGGAACCGCACACCGGGGAAGGATGGTGCTGAGCTCACCCTGTGCAAGCAGGCCGAGGGCGGAGGCAAGAGCAGTGACGTAGTGTAGGCCATCATGCGTAAAAGGCTCAGGTAACGGGATGAAATCACCTCCTCATCTGCAGGGTTCCTGTCAAACACCTACAACTGAATTTGGTTCCCTTCTGTTCCTAAATTAATCCAGTAAAGTATTTTTTATCACTCCGTGGTTGTTTCAAAAAATACATCAGACGAAGCAGTAAATGAACAGACACATTGTTAGAACCCAAGATAAAATAAGGTTCCTGTCCCTAGGACCATGTAGTACCATATGTGCAGATTGTAAGAGCTGGGCAAAAAAAAAAAACCTTTGCTAACATGCTCTCCAAATGAAACACCCAACCCCGGGCATTAGTGCTTGCAATAAGAGGATGGAGTTGTGCGGCTGAGTGGTACTGTCTTAGTGCTGTGACGTTTAGCTATCATGCAAGTTCCTTAACAAAGCTATTTTGTGCCAGAGAGCAATGAGGACTGGTCCAAAAGGGAAACATTACGTGACTGTCTAGACAGCATGCGTGCACCAAAGTTAGGAGCCCAAGTGAAGATCTGATTAGGAGTGACGGGATGCCTCCGACGGGAAACAAAGTAGTTAAAACATCTGGTAACTGATCTGGCAAACAATCATCAGTTGCTCCTCATTTTATAGTATTTTATTGTATATACTAATTCCTTTGCTACGCTTTTAATTAGTGGCTTGAGTAAAATAATCCAGACTTTCTCAGTTGGCTTGAAGCATGCTTACTTCATGTCACACAAAGTTGATGCATGCAATGTAGATGGAAGTGGGTGAAGAGAACAACTGTCTGGCAAAATGAGGCAAAAAAGCTAGACTTCTTGGAGAAAAATCATATTTAGCAATTTCGGGTTAAATTTATTCATTTAAGCTGTCATGCTATATTAACTTCAATACAATTGTTCTAATTAGTATTTACTTTACAGCAGAAGTAATAACATCAGAATATAAATTAAGGGAAGACTGTTACTCAAAAATTAGATGGTTTTTTTGATGGAGGGTGCCACAGGGTAGCACAGGTTCTCTGGCAAGAGATGAGATAAACAAGAAACATTGTCATTAGTTGGGAGGTTGAAGATGAATACGAGACACCTTATTTCAGGTGCGTGTACTTTAACCTCTATGGGTTCTGGTAAATCTCTTTAGCTGTATCTAGACTGATAGTCTGTCTGCGTGCACAGCTATGGTCCATTCAGATTGGGGATCTGGCTGGCATGCACTGAAGATCTCTCCCCACACAGGTGCCCAAGTTTCTCTCCTTCTTCCAGTTGGGATGGAAGTGAATTGTCACATGCTCACAAAAAGATATGGCTGGGGTCTAATATGGATGCAGAAGCCTAGTTCCTCAGGCTTAGATGTAGTCTTTGTGTCTTCATTCCTCACCTGTCAGATGGTGATTATAGTACTTTCCTATCTTACAGGAGAGCTATGTTCATTGATTACCAGGCACATTCTGCCATTACATGGCAGAAGGTGGTATACTTGATTGTTCTAATTGCAGGCTTCTCACAACATTAGATAAATTGTTTTTCCTTGCATAGATGGGGTGGAAATTTTAGGCATTTCCTACCATTTGTTAGGCCTGCCTACTACCCTCTTTGTCTTACATGCCACAGAACCTCATTACTCCCATTACTTTCTTCATTCCTCCTCCTCGTTTTGTAGGGGAACATAGATCATATCAGACAAGTAAGTGAGCAACTATGCTATTGTTAGTAAACTGAATACAACTACTTCAGTGTACTTGAAATTTGATAGCAACAGTACAAAAGAAGCCTGTAGGTTAATTTTTCAGGCTCACATACTGATTTTGAGCAATTAGAACTAACATTGAAAACAGAAGTCTATAAAAGACACGATCTGCTCACAGAAGAGTCACTAACAGAAACAAGGGCAAAATGTGACTGATAATTTTCCACGATTAATAGTTTGATCAGTTCTAATTACATTACAGCATGCCAAACATATAGCAGTAGATCTTGCTTGAACTAATAATTTGCCTTAATTTCATTATTATTCATTTCGTTCAAGTTGGCTGATATCTGTATGGAACAGCTTGGCAAAATTCAGTCATTTGCAGTCCTGTTATTACTGTTATGTCTCTCTGTGGTGCAGTATAATCAACCATGCACGAGGTTATAGAATAAAGTATAATCACCATCCGCCTAGTGCAGGGCAGATAGTCTCTATACTGTGAGCTAAATTTTGGTCTTTTGCATGTAATTCTACTTTTTAACTGACTCCCCTTTACCAGTTGAATGTCAGCAAAAATCCTCTATTGAACAAGGGTTGTTGGCATCATGGTACAGTAATTGGGATTACATTATTATATTTTACCTTCAGTTGCCTACACTGGGAGACCGGGAAAGGGTTATTATTGTGCCATTTTAATTAGCTTATCTGGTTGGTTGCCTTTAAATAAGATGCCTGCTTCATATTTCACATAACAATTGTAAAAGCTATTTGTTTTTTTCTTTCCCTGCACTGGAGATATCAAGAATGAGGAAGAGAAAATGTAAATCTTACAAAACAGGCTTTTGGTATCCTCTCAACCTGAAGGCTGGAGGCTGGTCTTAATAAAAAATAGCCATTTTTTTTACAGTTGCTGTTTGCTGGTATTAGCCTGCACATCCACTGGGGTCCTTTGCTACATTATCAGTTTATCCACATGTCAGAACATTGGCTTCTGACAGCAGCTGGGTTCGAGGAACTGGCTGCTCACTGGAAATGTTTCAGAACTTTTAACAGCCTGATGATCATTACACGCTGAATACCAAAGGACTGGTGAAAGAGCTTTGCTTGTAAGATGACATTGTAGCTTCCTTTTTTTCAGATACTTAGTGTCTTTTTGTATCTCTTTTCCTTCAAGACTGCTTCTTATAATCTTTCCCATGTTAGTCTCTCCTCCACTTCCTCTACATCACCATTTTGCCTTATCTCCCTTCTATTTTCACCATACCAACTGTAATTCTTCAATATCTTCCCTTTTTGTCTTTTTTTTTTGTTTTCTGTTTTTATTTCCTTTTTCCTTGAATGTTCTTCTTCACCTGACTTTGGTTTAGGCCTTTCATTTTTCAGGTTTTTTTTCATGATTTCTCCCTTTCATACTCACTTTCCTGTTCTTCTGAGCTTTTTCTGCTCTGAAGCGAATGAGGAATTCTTCATGTTTCTTCTTGTCGGCCTGCGGTGAGGAAGGGACAGCAGCAGGTTCAGCCAGTTAGTCGGGCCAGGAAAGCTGAAGCACCGGGAGGCATTTCATTTACTCACCCCTGTAGTTGCATTAGAAGCGAAATTCATAGCTGAAGGGGTGGTATGAGTAGCTGGAAAAGTGGAAGAAGCACAGCACATGGAAGATTTCTCTGTATCCAGGTGAGGAAGCACAGCTGCTTGGACACTACGACTGAGCGGATTTGCGCACCATGTTACCGATCTCCATGCATTTCTCTGATCAGGTGGAGGATTGACAGAACACTTCCTCTGCTCTGTGTAGCATTTCCCAATAGTCAAGGGGAAAAAAAACCCTGTGTTGTGAAACAGTATTGTTGTAGTAGAGAGATTGTACTGCCTGGAGCAGCATAGGTGACTGAATGCTTTCTTTTAACAGTGGTTTTCTAGGGAAACGTCCCAAAGTACTGCTTTTAGTGACAGTAACATAGAAACAGTAGAGATCAAGGTAAGCACGCAAGGCTGGGGGTCTGTTGGAAAAATACTGCGGTGGCCAAGTAAAACACTGGGCAACAGAGCACATATACAAGAGGATTGAATTAAAGTTACATGAAACTCAAATATGAGTTTATGGTCTGCAAACGCATGCTTAGTTTTTACCCACTGAAAATATTCTCTTTCAGTTGTGTGAGACCACCCATGAATGGAAAGCTAAGATTATATGTTGGTATTAGCCTGTCTGGGGCTTTACTTCCTACAAGGCAATATGATATACTGTTGTCTCCTGACCACAAATATAACTGTATTATGTGGACTTGAACTTGTAATATACACACAGCCTACATATAGGACAAATCTACTTGAAAGATGTGGTTGCAGAAATACAGGTACTGCCTCTGTGTCAGTTGTAAAATGCATCTTGGACGCCTGCAGGCAAAACTATTATTAAACAACCCCTAAATATAT